CAAGAGCCGAGTACATGAAAGCAACGTACTTTGAATGATTTTTTTGTACGCATCGGCAGCCGGCGAGTCTGGAACTTCGGTTAAAAATGACTTTCCTTCGTCACAGCAGCGGCCTATCCGAGGATCAAGAGGTAATTTGCCCAGAAAAGGAACTTCCATATCTGATGCCATTTTCTCTGCTCCCCCTGTTGTCGGTGGAAAGATCTGTGATTCTTTCTGTATCAAAAAAAGTTAACACAAGTTATCAAATTTTAGCAAACAGGCAACATCTTTCAATTCTTTTAAAACTAACCTTCACTGTTCTCGTAGAAGCATGTAGTCCTGAATTGTTACATTAAAAGTTGCACAAACTAATTGCTGCATAGGAACAGCGTGAAATAGTTAGAGTTCAGCTTCTCACCAATGCTTATAAATATTCGGCTTGTTTGCCGCCGGCCCGGAGAGATAATTTTGATGTGGATTATAAACTCCGTACTTTAGACCAGTGCTTACGGGGAGAAAAAGAAGCGAGGACGGGCGACGGTACGTCAAAAACCTCACTGGATGCCCCACCAATATCTTCTTTTCCAATTTTCTGCTTTGTTGCAATTTTTCAATTTCCCGTTCCCCGTTCCCCGCTCCCCGCTTCCTGTTTCCCATTCCTCGTTCTTCATTTTAATTTTGAACGCTAACTGTTCATTGTAAAGAGACTCAAGAATAACTGATCTTCGTTAACAAGCTTTGGTACACAAAATCTGTCCCTACTGTCCCCACGGCCCCGTCGACGCCTATCCGTTATTGTTTGAAAACGGAGAGTTTTTCTACGGTTTGGCCTACCGTCCACGCGTATCCGCTGAAAACGGTCACCGAAAAGACACCTGTTCAAAACGCCCTCTGGAGTCAGTGGAGATTTTTGAAAACGCCGGCTTATCCGTTTTCGTGCGTACGGACGAAAACGGAGGTTTTCGAATTCGATGATCTCATGAATCACAAAGCGCATGCTATCGTATTTCCATCGTTTAAGAGTTTTCATGTGGACTGCTGGCGAAAACGTTTCGAATACAATACGTGTGGGCGTGTCGACGAGGCCTCAAAATAAGGCATCCTCGTCAACCAGCTTTGGTCTAAAAAATCTGTTCCATGGTAGTTATTAAATCGCTGAGCGTTTAAAACACATACCTTGCACTTGGGGCAAACGAAACCACTCATATTTTCCACAACTCCGATAACTGGCATCTTTACTTTCTTGCAAAAGTTGATTTCTTTACGCACATCAAGTAGTGACACTTCCTTTAAATACAAATAACAACAATCGTTCAATAAATGATTTTCTTAAGAGAGAGCCAGCACCAGTCAGTGCATGTTGCAAGGGAATTTCACTAGGCAGCAAATAAAGGTCAATAAAAGATAGATAAATTTCTCCAATATTCAAGGTGACTTATACTTGACAGACTATATTGTACTTGAAGCTCTGTTACTTTCTCATCTTGAACAAATCATTTTTTGAAGTAACGAAAGCGTATTGAAGTATGCAGAAGTTAAAGGTAGAGCACGTCTGCCAGAACGGATTAAAGGCACCTGTAGATTCCTGGACAAGCACGCGTACAATACACAGCCCGTAAAGCTCTATTATACTTTTTTTTTTGCACCAGAAAGTTAGCACGATTATTTTTATTGAAGAATATTAACTTAGTAAAGCCCTCTTCTGATGGCAAAATGATAAAACTTCTAACATTTCTCGCCAAAACGCGTTGAATGACGACGGTTTTCACGTTTTCCCGCCAATAGGTGGTTTTCACGTTACGTCATCGCCGCCATGCTGGTGGACGGTAAACAAAAGATCGCTCATTAGCTCGCTTTGTTTGTCCACCAGCATTTGTTCATTTCACCATTGTTATTTGTGTCTCCCGAGATTGCATGAAAACCACCTATAGGGACTTTAAGATTCAACGACGCCACGGCAATGAGAACGTCGCTTAAAAAGTGAATTAGCGTTCTTTCAGTCTTTATCGCAATTATTCCTACCCACATACTTTGTCAAATGTAGGCGAACCCTACTGGAGTTGAATTCTTTGGGACCACATCCAAGTACAGAAAGAGAAATAAAATTTTGTCGTTGCTTGTTTACGTCCTCCATAAAACGCGAAATTATGCATTTTCACGTCGTAGTCGTGCAAAACGGGCAAAGAAATGTACAAAAAAGCGTGATGCGCGTGCAAAGTTGTTGTTTTGCCTATAAGACCTATTGTTTTTTTGACGTTCTCGTTGCTGTCCGCGTCGTTGAATCTTAAAGTTCCTAATAATAACGATAGCGCTACTCGCTCGCTTCTTAGTATTGAGAAAATCTCGTCCTCGTAGTTAGTCCTCACTAGTTTAGACTCTAAAAGTCTCTAATAACAGATCGTGAAACAACATCTATTTTGTGAAATGGTTCATGGAACTTGCTCTTAGGCAGCGGACCCAAGATCTGTTCCAATAACGCTTGTAAAAACGCTTTGAAGCGTTCGCGTGTCCTGAATGCTTGGAAATCAACTGTTGAATGACACATAAAAACGAATGGAAAAGATTGAGTAGGATAATCTGTGCAACAACACGAAGAAAACAGAGAAATATGAAAGACGATGAGACCAGCGCAGGAAGAATGTGTGACGAACTTAACGGTGCTGTACTCGTTTGCGGGTTTTAGGCATTTGTTAGCGAGATTGGAGCCTGTCTTTAGCACGCCTATGTTTGAAAAGTGGACACTATGACCGTTCAACAGGAGGACTCCCCTTGTACATTCTTGGAGCCCCTGTAGTAGAGCGACTAACACGTGCGAGGGCACGAGGAATCCCCTCCCGTGCCGTCCCATGCGATACGCGCTCCTTTTTAGGCGCGAAAATTTTTATATTACTGATGTTACTACTTTTTAATATTTTAATTAATATTGTCATAAGCAATGCCACTTACTCACATGGAATGCCAATAAATTGTTGAGCGTAGCGCCGCAGACATAACTTGGCGCCATTTTCGCAGCAAATCGAGTCAAGCAAACATGGCACGCCTACGATCGCTAAAATGAACAAAAACATTTGCCCATGGCGAGTTCCGCCGTGTATGTGATCGTTTGACGAAGACGGCTTCCGAAAGTGTTGTAAACCGTTACAGAAATCAGGCGTAGTAAATATTTAACAGTGATGAGCATTCAGTCATTAAGAACTGTTCGCTTCAACGATCATTGACCAGACAATGGAGACAAACATGTCAATTACTTTCTATTGACATGCCAGTCGATTTCGTGAACTATACATGCTTGCTTGCTTGCTAACTTACTTCAGGGCTGGAAAAAACTTCCGTCCGTTAGTCCGGGGCAAGTTGATTTTCTTGCCGAATCGGTAACTTTTAAAGCTTACTTGCCAAATAGGCAAGGGTCAAGTCATCCGCTAACAAAATCATTAACTAAGACAAGCAAGAGGTGGCCCCGGCCAAGGAAATGCGAGAGGTGCTTGCCCAAAGGACAAGCTGGCACTCAAGTTTTTTAAAAGCCCTGTTACTTAACGCTTTCAAAAATGGGCTCGGCTAGATACTCTGCTTCCTCAAAAACCTGGAGGTTCACCCAACACAGGCAGACCACTCTCTGTTCCCGTGACCGTTTTTCTTTAGACTTCTGAGCATAGATCTTTTGTGCCAAGTTATAAGAGAAAAACAGATACAGATGAACAATACGGCGGCTACAATTTGCTCCAAACCACAGCTTTGAAAGGACATGTTCCAATAAAAGTGCTAACGAAATGTTAACTTAGTCAGGTGTCGTGTTTTTTCACTGCTCCGGGCTGTTTTATAGCGCTATTTTTGCGAAATAATTATTCGACCGGCGGCTAGAATAATTATCTTGCAAAAGGGCGCTTTTTTCCAGTCAGAAAGACGTTAACGAAGCACCATCTATAAATAAGACAATATTATTAACATACAACAGAGTCAATAGGGCTATTGACCAATACATAAAGGCCGATACACACGAGGGGTTTTGCTTCCGGAGCATGCTCCAGGCTCATTTTGCACGCGTCAGTACACACGAGGGAGCGTTTTTAAGTTTGCTCAATTTGCCCGGGGAGTTTGCTCCCAAATATTTAACCGGTTAAATATCGCGGAACATTTTGCGGGGTGGAAATTCTGCTCCCGAGGATGAAGTATACCCATGAAATCGTTGGTACATACGGAGGAACTTTGCTCCCAGAGTGTGCCCCTGGAGAATGCTCCGGGAGCAAAATCCCTCGTGTGTATCGGCCTTACAATACCATAACATACCATAATGCTCTTTGTTTGTCACCCCAAAATTTTGCATAAGCATTGTCTTCAGTTTCTCTTAGGAGTTAAAATGGCCCCAACAGAAACTGAAAACAATGCTTATGCAAAATTTTGGGGTGACAAACACAGAGCATTATGGTATGTTATGGTATTTTATGTAGTGGTCAATTAAAATATGATTAGATATTCTTTGGAGGATTTTGATCCACATGGGCTACAAGTTCTTTAAGCAGAACAAACAAGTAGCTACAAGTGCCAAGAATGAGTTTGATTTTCACCTGGATTTCACCGACAAATTAGTCCCCGAACCGTGAAACTTTTCAAGGTTCAGGGCCTACAAGTTTCACGGTCCAGTGCTTATTGAAACCTTTGACGCTAATTAGATTTAACCTTTATCAGGCGCGGGGCGAAGAAAGGGCAAAAATTCAGCCTGGATAAGAGACCTGGAGTACTTATCTCTCCACGCAACGCTTCACACAGGTCACCTAAAGATGAGTTTGATTTCACCGTTAGGTTTTATCGGCGCGGGAAAAGTAGCACAGTACATCGCCAAAGCGCTTTTGTCGGCAGGAACAGTCAAAGCAAACCAAGTTATCGCCAGTTCTCGTACACAGGATGACTTGAATCAATTTCGCGACATGTCCTGTGCTGTGACTGATGATAACCAGTTAGTTTTAAAGGAATGCAACTATGTCTTCCTTGCTACTCCAACAAGCGCACTCTCAAACGTTTTCAAGGACATTTCTCCTGTAGTGACCTCAAATCATCTACTTATGTCCATTGCCGCTGGAGTCACGCTCAATTACATGCAGAATTCCTTGCCTGGTCAAACCAAAGTAGTCCGCATGATGTTGAATTCCGCGGTGCAGATTTGTGAGGGAGTTACAACTGTTTCCTACGGAAAGTTTACGTGCGACGAAGACCGAAAAGTCGTCCATCAACTAATGTCCAAAGTTGGATACTGCCACACAGTAGATGAGCGTTTAATGGATTTAATAACAGCACTGACCGGCGGCGGTCCCGCGTACGTGTACCTCGTCCTGGACGCCCTCGCGGACGGCGCAGTACGTGGCGGATTAACACGCGAGGAAGCAGTGCGATTAGTAGCACATACGGCCTCTGGAGCTGCTCAGTTGGCTTTGAAAAGTCAAAAACACCTCGGAGAGCTTAAAGACAGTGTGTGCACTGCTGGCGGGTCTACTATTGAAGGTATTAACGCTCTGGAAGAACGTGGAGTAAGAGCAGCTTTGATGAGAGCGGTAGATGCCGCCACTGTGCGAGCCAAAGAACTTCGTACTGACGTTCAATAAACTCCACGTAAGGTGACAAATTCATTTTAAACATTTTTTGTGTTACAGTGTTCGTTTAATGGAAGTCTTAGTGTACCGAATTGTAGCATATGGACATATTAGAATCTACTTAGTTAATTAACAAGGACAGTCAAACTTGCCCTTCATTCCAGCAGGGTCTATTCTGGTGTGCCTGTGCAAGCACAGGGGATGCAGACTTTGGGTACGCTCTTGCATTTTTAAGAAACCCCAGCTAGGACGACTAGGGAAAAAAGTTAACCCTCTATTGTCTTATCTATATACCTCTTCTTTTGCTTTAGATCCATTTTGAAATACTATTTACAAGTTTACAATTTCGAGTTTTACTCCTTTTAGTTTACAGTGGAAATTCAAACTCTTAGGCCTAGGCCAAACGCCGAACTTTTCAAGGGACGAAGCAAACTCTAATTTCAGGGTCGACCTTAAGATCGTCTGTTGGGTCAGACGTCGAACTTAGGTCGCATCGAACCAATAAACTAAATCGGACCAAAAAGCAATGTCAAAAAATTTTTTCCCGAACGAGGCTAGATAAATATCATCATAAAAATTTTTAAATTATTAGTTTAGTTCGTCGCATGTGAAGATCGACGTTGGATTCGAACCCTTGACCTCTGCGATACCGGTGCAGCGCTCTACCAATTAAGCTAACAAGCCAACTGGGAGCAGGTCATTGAACTGGTTCATTATAAATCCGTGAAAGGATGATGATGACCTTCATATATGATTTTCATATCATCATCCTTTCACGGCTTTATCACGAACCAATTCAACGACCTGCTCCCAGTTGGCTTGTTAGCTTCATTGGTAGAGCGCTTCACCGGTATCGCAGAGGTCAACTCCATACACCTGTCGGATTGACATTTTTCCAGGCCGTGAAGATCATCTTGTAATTACCGACAATCGCTCTCAGATTTTATTGTAAGGTAAACGACAGTGTCATCGGCAAAAAGACGGACCCTTCACTTAACATAGCATGGGAGATCATCAATAAAAATGAGAAATGTTAACGGCCCCAGCACTGATTTTACGGGTACACTTGAGGTTACTGGAATAGAATGCGAATGCTCTCCTTCTAGAACGTTCTTCAGACGTTCCATCTGTCTGAAGGAGATCTAGCCGCATAGAACGTGTTGGACGATCTAAGGCCTAGGCCAAACGTCGAACTTTTCACGAGACGAACCAAACTCAGTGAGTTAAGTTTATGAAAACGTTCGATGTCTGGCTCAGTTAAGTTCGTCTGAGCGAGTTGGGATCGTCCAACACGTTCTATCCGTCTGTTTGAAGAGCGAGGATGGCTAAAAATGTCTCCATGACCGTTCTATTCATGGACAATTTTTGAAGCTCATCTTATAAATTCCCTACGATTTTCTGAGGTTTAATTTTTCACATTTCACTGCCACCACTAGGCTATTTTTCGTAGAAAAAAGGAGACCTAAAATTTTCGGACTCAGAAATGTGATGGAGAGAGGAATCAGAAAAATTCTCATTTTCGTAATACGTTAAATTGCATGTAAAAGTTTCGGGAAAATAATACTGAAGCCCTTGAAATTTTTTGTGGAGACGAGTGTGGCCGAGTGGTTAACACCTCCAACTCTGGATCTGGAGGTCCGGGGTTTAAGCCTCGCCCATCGCGTTGTTTCCTAAGACAAGAACTTTACTCCTTTTTGTCTCTCTTCATCGAGGTGTATAAATGGGTACCGGCGACATACTGCTGGGGGGTAACTCTGCGATGGACTAGCATCCCATCCAGGGGGGAGTAGCCATACTCCTAGGCTTGCTTCATGCTAACGAAACTGGGATACGTTCCGGCCGTTTGGGCCTTTGCCTCGTGTGCGCCTTTACCTACATTGCCCTTGACATTTCAAAAAGACTCAAGTTGCCCTAGGATGACCGAACAGATACAAATTTTATAGCGCCGCTTAGAATGCATTTCTATAGATCTAAAAGTTCTCTGGATAGCCTTAAAAAGTGTTTTCAATGAATTTAGGAGGAAACCGTCGTTGGGTGCCCCTGAGAAAATCTGGTACCAGTCACTTAATTCTAGAAATAGGTATCTCGCCAACCTCGCCCCCAGGGCTTTTCCCCACCCATTTTTTAAGGGAAAAGCCCTGGGGACGAGGTTGGTATCTCGCAAACCTTCACGACCGGGGAAGGGGGGAGGGGTAAGGGGGCTACTCCTAACCCGCCCGTTGGTTTGATAAAGAAAAAAAACCTCTGGCACTCAGGGTATTTGGTGACAGTTCCCACTGCACTGTTACCCTGGGTACCAGAGGTTTTTCTCGCGTGCAGCCGAAGCCACGAGCGGCGAAGCGCGGGTCGCTATAAAGACTTGACAGAAACCGGAAACCGCGCTAGAAAAGTCTCTGGCACACAGGGTACTGCACTGTTTGTAACACAGTTCCTTTGAACTCGGTGATCAACCATGACAATTTCACATAAAGAATGGTGAAGATGAACTGTTTATTTTGTGCAATGTCAGCGATTTTCTTCGATTCTTACCTGTGGTGTGGTAATGATAATGGCTCCATCTACGTGAGTATTACTCAAATACTGAACAACTGACAGATGCTCATCAGATGTTCCAGGTGGTGTGTCCACAACAAGATAGTCTACATCACCCCAGTCAACATCACGTAAAAACTGCTTGATTAAACCTACAATATGGACAAAAAGCAAACTTTCTTTTTCCTGGGCAAACCATGAAAATTACAGAGTTGTGCTCTGGCAGTGCCCCGGTGGCCCTTGGGGCCTTGCTGTTGCTCCTGAGTGACAAACGACTATGAAATCTCAGTTTATGCACAGAAATCATATGCTAGGCACCACTGATTCCAAAGGTTTAGAGCATAGGGCTCCCTTTTCTTAGAGCATAGCCCTAAAATATTAGTATCCCACATGGACCCTCCTACTAATGCTTAACTAAAAAAATCTGGAACGAATTATACTCAAGTGTCTGTTTCACTCCTATTTATTTAATGGGCAGATCACCTTAAGAAAACAAGAGAAGTTTGGGCTGCTAGGAGTGAGTTTACTTATGATAAATTCATTTATATTAGTTCGTGCATTTCAACATTAATGTACCTTTCAATCATGAATAAATTGAAAATCCCAACCACTGGCAGGTTTTTCATTAACAACAATGATCACAAGTAGATTTTACACAAACAAAGATTTTTTGTCAAACAAGGTAGGAAGAAAGCTACAGTGTTTGCTTATTTGATTTCACAAAGCAGGCAGCACAAAGTTACGAACAGAGGTGAATAAGAGCACATGAAATAATCAATATGGAGGCAAGAAATTTTTTTTCCTTTAGACTTTTCATCACTCACTCTTTCAACATTAATCAAAATTTGTTGGTCAGTAATCTGCTGTGGAAATCAACATCATTTTATTGATTGCACACAACCAGAAAGTTAAAACTGCTCGGCCAAAATTTTTTTGGACCCATCAAGCCAAATCCCAGCAATCCAGATCACAAGAAAATTTACAACTGAATTTTAATAGATTTTTAAACAACACAAGGTTAAAAATCTTTGTTAGTCAACAATTGATTTGTTTAAAATACTTGCCTGGATGGCTTTAATCAAGTCACTACAAAAATAATAAGATGTCTCTTACCATTTTTCTTTGGTCCCCTCCAAATGACAGCATCACTAGGACTGGCTAACAAGAAACCCACAGACATCACACCAAGATTGTCCTCAACATACTAAGGAAAATATGAAGAGAGTAACTAAGGGTGCTTTCCATTTGTCAGAACTGACCAGCCAGACCATTCTCTCCGTGATGAGAATTTCACAGAACTATCCAGACACATCAGTCAAATCCTAAAATAGTATGCGTGAAGGAGATGGTTTTCAGCAAAAACTCTTCGAAAAACCTGTTTCATTGTCAAAAAGACTTGTCTGGTAATGGTCTGGGCGGCCAGTTCTGACTTTTGGAAAGCCCCGTAAGTCATAATAGCAGAGCTCTCATGTGCAAAGTGTGTGCAGTAGGGCACCATGGGTAATAAAATCTGGTTATCTATGCATCCAAGAAATTTTGGTTGTCACAAAATCCATCCATTCGATCGTACTTCCAACCATTCATGTTAGCGGATGTGAAATATCACACTTACAAGCTGTGTTTCACTTGATATGGGACATCCATGTTATGGTCAATTGACAGCTGTAATAAGGTATTAGCTGACCAGTATCACATTACTGCTTCACAGGCTCAGGTGTACAGCTCACCGAGGTGACTGTAAAGATGTTTTCTCAAGTTCTCCAATGACTAGTTAATTAAGAGTTTTCAATTTTTTAGGAGGAATTCAGTTTGCTTTTTATTTAACTTAGGCAAAGTTGAATTCCTTCAGAAACACCGTTCTTTAAGGGTACTATGAGAGCTTCCCTTTTGGCCTTGGCTAAGTCTACATATTAGCCCCAGCAGACAACAAAAAGACAAAGTAAGACTTTTCTTTGTATAAAACCATACATTCTCTTATCGTATTAGCTGGATTACAAGCCACTGTTCTGTCACAAAATGTCAGCTGTTTTTTCAGGCCGCATCCTATCCCAACATTCTCAAACAGTTTGAGGCCATTATGACAAATCCAACACTGACTTTTATATATTAGTTCCTGAAGAGCATAAACTGTTCGAAAGTTTTTAAAGTCAAACATATTTGAATTCTTACCACAGGTGACCACCCTGAACCACTTTGATGTACCTAGGTGAAAAAATAGCCAAAAGGGATCATTACTCAGGAAATCTTCTGTGCAATAATAATGTTACAAACTGCAATAATACAGCAGTAAGTGAGAAGCTTTATCAGACACAGTAGGATCGGGGGGTCTAAAACTGCCCAGTAAAGACATGCAGTTCCGTTACATGTTCTCATGTTTGTTAAATCACTTCTGCCCATCACATCCCAGGGAAAGATCCAGAAATCTTTCAAAAATCTGTGAAAACTGCTGTCATTATTTAACCACTTGTCTACCAGAACCACATACACCCAGCAACCGGAGCCATTTCTCAATGACTGGAGTATATTTTATTCAAGACAACTTGAACGACCGGGCTGTTGGTGATTTCATATGTCTGAGGACGTATATGTTGTAGTTAATTTTTTATCTCAGGTAATTTTATTTTTCTTTTGTTTAAACTTCATTAGCATACATTATCATACCCAAAAACAAAAGAAAAATAAAAATTACCTGAGATAAAAAATTAACTACAACATATATATACATATATCCTTGGTTGTTGAGTAACACAGGACGTATATATGTGTCCTTGGTAACCAAGGGGTTAAGGCTAATAATCCCCACCCTTCTGGCTATTAGCTTTCACAAGAAACAATTAACAAATTTCTCATCGCAATACTAGTGAAGCACACAAGTATTATTAAGAGTCACTGCTCCCTACCCCATTGGAGTTATTCCCAAGCAACCAGGTGAAGGTTATACGTTGATTCTTCTGTGCCTTGTCCAGCGTGCAAAGAAAGTAGTGTCCGATAGCCCGGGGCTAGTGGATTTTGCTATTGGGCTAGTGAATTCTGTTATTAACTTGCCCGACGGGCAAGTGAAGTTTTTTGAGGAATTCAAATTACAGAAGAACTGTGAAATTAATCTGCTGATCAAAACGTTTTTGGGGCTAGTTGAAATGATGTTTGGGCTAGTAGATGTTAGCTTCAACTTGCCCGAATGGCAAGCTGTAAAAATGACCTTCTTTGCACCCTGCTCGTCTGATGAGTGTACAATCAGAAGACGTGTAAGAACCACACAGACCACCACCCCCCCCCTCCAAACTGCCTAACATCCACCACAGTATCCTGAAGTAAAAACCTTACCTGCTCCCCTTCAAGTCCCATAACTTTGGGAATAGATGGACCACAAATGTCAACATCTAAAACTGCTATCTGAAATATAAAGTAGTAATGCATTGCATAATTTACTTATTAGAGCTTCTAATACTGCTATCAATATAAAACTAGAGGTCATGCACAAAAATTGCAGAACTCTAGATAAAACATTAATTTTTTTTCAGTTGAGTAAAATACTAGTGAGATGAAAAGCTGACCTTTGTCAGTTTCTTCACAAAATTTCTTCTCCATATTTCATGCTTTGTTTTGCCTCATTCAAGGGCTACTACAAAATAATCTTAAGCTCTGCTAACATTGTAATGTGACCATTCTGAGTGAAAGGCCCTTGGTGTCAACTAAGGCATAAAAGCTTCTAAAGAAGAAAATATTCATTACCTGCTTACTGTCATCAGCAGCAAGGCCATGTGCTAGATGAGCTGTAAATGTACTTTTACCAACACCGCCCTTACCAGACAAAACCAGGATCTTATGTTTAACTGAAGACATTCTTTCCTTTACTTCTTGTACAGCTAAAAGTGATGAAAACTCTTTTACAATGATATCTCAGTATGAGTAGGGAAAAAACTGTTCATCTGCGACTAGTCACAAATAACAAGTCAAGAGCGCTTAGAACCTCTGCATGGATGCTGTAATTATTTTTGTCTATCTACTTTTTTCATCAAGTATATAATATGATATTGAAAATGGTTCTATCAAAGTCAGGTATACATAGAGTTTTGATGCAATTTAAGGAGTAATAACTGCCTGATTTTCAAACACTATAACTCATAAAATGATATAAAATATGTAAAAAATATTTATTAAAGAAGGATACATGACGTAATGTTTCCGCATTTAGCTCAGGAGAAAGAAAGGCTACAATCCAATTGCCAGTCCACTCAATGTGTTAAACTTACAGGTTAGTATGGATTTAGGAAAAATAACACAACTACTCCCCTACAAGTCAAGGGGAAAATCTCTTGTCAGGCATGGTGCTGCCACATGCAATGCTACAGATTTGGTGTACACAGAAAGAGTTTAAACAAAAGGCTCATACATGCACTTGCCATACCATGCAGACTGGGTCATGGTATGCTCTCAGTGTCTGCAAGTATTTCATCACTTTCAAAGAAAATTCTGTCATTACAATAATAAAAACAAATCTCAATGGTCTGTGCTTCATGTAAGACTTTGTATATGCTGAGCAACACACAGCCATGTCATGATTTGGGGACTGAAATGATTTGTGTTTATCGGGGGAGGGGTGGCGGGTCTTTCATATCGGGGGAAGGGGGGGTTAGAGCAAAGAGGGAGTCTTCAGATTTTAGACCCCCAGTAGTCCATGGGCTAGCTACAGAGGTTACCATTCTCTGTTTATAATGTGTGAATCTTTTTGGAATTCTACATTAATTTAACATCAAATTAAACGTCTGAACTGATTTTCTGTCCACAAGTTACCTGGATCAGGTCCAATTGGCTTGCTGGAGGCACAAATATTTTGGTTTGGACAGCCTTGGCATGCAGTACTCTTTCCTGCTTGTTCACTTCCCGTTCCTGGACAGTCTGTCAGTTTTGAAAAATTATATTCATGTTTTCATAGAACCCCATATCGCAGGTCACTATTATGTTTCATTATCTAATGTAAGTCAAGAATAATTTTCTTACGTTCAGGAGCATTTTCCGGTACGTCCGCCATGATTATTACTTGAGTCTGCGATCAACAGCAAGTCACCACACTTGCGCATGCTCATTAATGAAAGAGAAAGATGGCGGAAGAGGGCTCTGGTAATATTTTTTGTTGTTTTCGTGGGATTTTTTATGACTATTGAAACAATTAAGATTTCGTTTTCTTTTATGATTTACAAGGGTAGTTATAGCTTTTGTCCCCATTTCAGTCGTAGATACAGAAGATAAATTTGAGAGTGAGGCTAAGGATGATCAAGTACTCGGGTTGAAGGACACTTGTCGGTCAAAGTGTTGTCCAGAAAATGCTGACGTCGTCAACGATAGCGAGGACTCAAATGAGAAATCAAAAGAGGATTTTAGTGTGGAGGAAAAAGAAAAAGACACGACGGAAGAGGAGCAAGCGTGCTGTAGTAGAGAGACTGCAAGTTTTAGAGTGGTCTGGAACAAAAAAAACTACGAGGTTAATTTCCCTGTTGATGAAACAGCTGATAGTCTCAAGCAGCATATAGAAAATCTCACAGGTTCGTTATTGTCTGGTTTTGATTAATGAACTCTTGAAGTAAGTGTTCAGTTCTCTATTGAATAACTCTCTATAGCCCTGAAAGGTTTTTTAGAATAAAACGATTAGGGTTCCATTCAATGCATGTAACAACTACTCAACCCCACCCCCCTCCTCCCCCACAATGTCACATTCATACATATTATTACAGTAGTTTCCTTTACATCAGAACAAAGACCTTTATTCAAAGTTCGTTTACATATTGGAATATCAGCATTAATTTGAGTCACTATATTATACCTGCCAACTCTCATACCTTAATTAGGCGTGAGTCTCACGCCTGCGAGTTGAAAACTTCGATCTCACGCCGGGTCATGCTTGCGGGCCAATTTCACACGCCTGATTGAAAAATGTGAGTTGTTGCCGTCTTGCTTGACATAGTTTCCAAAAATATGTTAACTCAGACCCATGTAAGGAACACAAAACCATGTGTAAAATGACTAAATGACAATACCTTCCTCGTGATCTCTGATTTTGTGGATAAGTGTTGTCTCGATAACTTCGCCTTCGGCAGACTTCGGACGTCTTCGGAAGACTTCGGACTTCTTCGGAAGACTTCGGACTTCTTCGGGAATCTTCGGAAATGATCATGGATAAAAATCTCACGCTTATATGTCAGAAAAAGTTGGCAGGTATACTATATCCAACTTTGCAAATTAACATGGTGACATTGGAGGGTGATGAAAAAAATACTTATTATGTAGAAGCTGCTGTACACTGTTCAAAATAGACCCCAAATGTTGAAAAATTACTGCATCCTGCACTTTTGGAACTAGTGCAATATCATAATTCAAGATTAGGGTTACTAAAAGACCACAACTATGAAATGAAAAATAATAATATATTATGACACTAGTCTATTATTCATTCATTTATTCATCACTGATTTCGAAAACTTATGTCTTCCCTTCTGAGGGAAATTGAAGTCAGGGAGAAAATACAATATTCCAGTCACCTCAAAATTAACTCTCTAAATTAATTTCCCATGTTCATCCCCTCTTTGGTACTGTTTAAGTTGTATCCCATAACTTCTGCATTAAGCAGTTCATATGACTGTGAACTGCTAAGGACCAGTTTCCCAGAAATAAAAGGTATTGTTTGATTTTACAATGCTAAGAATCTTTTTGCTGACCCTCATTTCACTAGAACATTTCTAATAATTATTAAGAAATAAATATTTGCTACTTAACAGGTCTCCCAGTATCAATGCAAAAGCTGATGTACAAAGGTAATCTGCTCTCTTGTTATAAGTCTGTGATATTATGTCCATAATTATGTGATAACATTCCAATTTAATGATTTCGTGACATAATTATAAATGTCATTCCAAAGTTTGAATATTTTGACACTAGGTGTAATTGCTCACTTGTCAGGTATGATTATCTGTTAAAACTGTTTTGACCCATACATTTGTATCTTGCTTGATCTTATAATCTCTTTATTGGATTTTTGTCATTTCTAATATTTCCTGCCTCTGATCAAATTATTACTCTATCGTTAGATGGTATATGATCTATGAGATTCCAGGCATCCTTTAATGAAAAGAAATGTTAGTAGCCTGTTCCTTTTTACCTTAAAAATTACAAACACTCTACACAGGATAATGCCAACAAAAGTTGAATGCAGTATCTGTACACACAGACAATCCCAGCTTTTAACTTCATATCACACTTGTCTGAAAAAAGGAAGTACATATGTTATGCCTTTTGGATTTTGGGTAACAAATGTTATTCAGATCATTCAGGTTAAATAACAGTTTTATTGCAGTGTGCAAAGAAAGTTGTGTCCCATTATGCCCAGGGCTAGTGGATTTTGCTATCAGGCTGGTGAATTCTGTTTGGGGGGAAATCAAATATAAAAAATCAAAATCAAATGGAAGAAGTGTAATCAATCCTGATCATCCTCATTGACTCTTGGGCTAGTTCATGGTAGCTACAACTTGCCCAAATGGCAAGCTGTAAAACTGACTTTCTTTGCACCCCATACTAATAATAATTATTATTATTATGTGAAGATTGTAATCATGGTAAAGTAAACAATATCACCAGCAGGAACTGAAAATAAAACTGTGATTTTTATAATAATCACACTTCTTCTTCATCAAACACCAGTGAATAATATTAGTTTATTGTCACAGAATTGAAAAGGATTGAAAAAATTGACAAATATCTGTGTATCCTGCAGGACTTGTCAAGGATGGTAGTAAAACATTGAGAGAGTTAAATGTGACAAATGGAGTGAAAATGATGGTTGTAGGCTCAACCATGAATGATGTGATGAAAGTAACCCCTCCTCCCCCAGGGGCTTTGAAAGAAGAAAAAATTGCTTCAGGTAGGGAACATCTACATGTAACACATAACCAATGCTCAGCTGGGACCCCTTTAATACCTTTCAGTCAAAGCAAGTCAAGCATACCCCATTAGATTCTATCAATGAATTGATTATTTAAAAACAAAGCTATTATGCCAATATAAAATATTCATTTTACATTCCACTATGTATGATGAGCAGTAGGAATTCCTTGTGATGTAGGTATTAAAACGTCTGCCAGCTCAGTTTTCTTGAATTTGATGCAAACATCTTCCTCTCTTACCGTAAATTAAATTCCTCTGAAGTTTGTTATCTTTACTAAATTTAATGGTCCAGATAAGAAGGAAAGAACCAAACGCAATGAACACATCAGAATGAAAAAAGGTGCTAACTTTACTATTGTCTCTGTTACATTTCTGATTGGTTTAAACATCAAATTTTACAAAATCTTCACAAAGCAGCATGTATATCAGTCCTTCTTTTCTAACCACCATCCTTATAACAAAATCTTTTCTGAGTCTAAGTAACACAGAAATCCTACATGAGGAACACATAAAATTGTAAACTTCTCTTGGCCATTGTTTGCAACTCTTATTGTTGGTTGAAATCTTTTAACACCAAAAAACACTCTTTAAAAATGGACTTTAAATACATTTTATTTCATAAACTGCCTTTTTGTAGTTTTTTGCATTCTCTGTGTGAAAATGAAAATATGTAAGGAAAGCGTATTGCACCATAACAAAAGAAATTACTTCCTGTCTTACCCAGATCATTACTTAAATGGAAATTTTTACAAAAATAAAGCTTTTGTCTGCGAAAAATGTATGTTTTTGCCCAATTTCATTTTTAAACTCATTAGACCTTTTTGAGATCTACCAAAGAGGACGCGATCCTTAATTATATTATTATCCTTGTCTTTGAAAAATGTTTAATTTGACGGTTTTTTTTCTTCTGTCTTGCAGCTTCATCAAAGGAACCTCTTTGTAAACAAAAGGTTCTTATTTTTCATTATCGATACTTTTGCTTTCTATTTGGGTTGTTTGGTAATATAGTTCTTACTCCAATAAATACACTTTTTCCATTTTCAGATGCATAAAAAAGTCTTAGATAAAGGAATTCCAGATGACGTCATGCCAGGAATAAAAAATAAAAAGGTATTTTCTTGAAAAAAAATTGTGAGTCACATTCATGTAATACATGTCTCCCTTTTTGCTTTCTAAATTTCTGGAGAATTGCCTGTGGTAGAATCCCAGTCATTTTAGAACCTTGTAGGGAAAGGGAGTTAGTTTGAGTAACCAGAAAGATCAAAGTCTTAAGTGTAGAGTATTTTTATTGTGTTGTTTGACTGCAAGAAGGAAGTTAGTTTAAGATTCCAGAAACTTTCCAGACTTGCTCTTTGCCCTTGTATAACCACTCCGTTTCCTGAGCAGACAAAAATCACACTGAGGTGCTAGATTCCCAGTCATGTCCAATACGGTTTACGGTCGTTTCGCCCACGAGTCGTTTCGCCAGCGCCCTGTTCACTAACTTCTGAAGTCGTCTCGCGTACGTGTTTAGTCAGTTCCCCCCCAACTGCTTTCACCTGATCAGTGGCTGAGAGAACGAAGTAAATACATGCGCAGCGTCCCCGCTAGAATAGATCCATCCATGGTATTTTTCAAGTTTTGACAAAGACCAGTAAGCTAATATCCATCGGCACTTCCGAAAAGAGTACCTTTTAAAATTAGGAATCTTGTAAAGTTTAATGGAAATATGCCCAAAGCGAGCAAGGATATTGCTGCACAAGGTCGCAGAGTTTTCAGTACAGATGTTGTTTGTGTCCCCCACCTTACAAATGTCTCTGAAATTCCGCGAATTTGCGGAATGTATCCTCGTTAGTTTTGAACAAACCACTTTCAAACCGATGTAAAGGCATCCTTCCAACTGTGTTGACCGGCGGATTTTCGCTAACTGGTTCCAGTCAAAAGTTAGAAAAACCTATTTCATCTTTATCAATGGCGCCCTCAACCAGCAATATCCCGTACTGATTAGCCTGCGTAGCAAGCGTTTCTTCGCGAGGTTCGTCTAGAAAGCTGGGACGATAAACCAACATCTACATATATCATCTTGCAACATCTATAACAGACATATTCGCAAGCTCCTAACTAAAAACTAAAGCACTACTACTAGGAAACATAAAAATATAAAAATACAATAAGTCGAAAGGGGTAAACATCATACTGAAAAAATGTAGTCAGCGACGGTGGCTTTAAATTTTGCGGTTGAATCCAATGTTAAATAATCAGATGGCAGGCTATTCCAGTCAATGATAGTTCTCGGCCAGAAGCTGTTTTTGTACGTGTCACTGGATGGCTGAAGTGGGATAAATTTCAGTGGATTTTAGGGAAGGGCGATAAAAACTGCCACAATACTTGCTTTTGCATAACACCTTTAAAAAGAACTTTAAAACTCCAAAGAGCACCAGTTACCAAATTCGACAAAATCCCGTAGTGAAATATTGGAAAACAGCATGGTATCAAGCAAAGGGTCTCGCGTCCTAGTAGCAGAAGTTGCTTACCCTATACATTTCAGATAAAATACAGTATATTTACAGGAAAAGTTACCAGATATTCCAGTAGCTGGGATGTATAACAAATATGGTGGAAAAGTCAGGTTGACCTTTAAACTCCAGTTGGATCAACTTTGGATTGGAACGAAAGGTTTGTTGCACATCTATCTTATAGCAGGATCTTACTTTCAATTTTCGGCCATAAGACACAGTATCCACTCGGCAGATACCCAGCGTAATAAGCAACGAGCACGCTGACGTCCCGGACGTCATAAATACAGTGCAACCGGCAGTTTGATGTCTGGCTTGATGGAACGCTTCTGTCTCACATAACGAATCTGAATACCTTTGTTTTAACCCCTGCTGTACGTATTTGTCGAGTGAGAGCACTGAAAGAGAGAAAATATCAACCTCCGGTTGCCATTTTTGACGTCTGGGACGTCAACGTTCTCTTTGCTTAAGGTCCCTATTAACCCCTTCACCACCCGTAACCGTCCTTTTAGATCCGTGTCGCTTGTACGACATGTGAGGTCACCAGTTTTAACGGTCATTGGGAGAGGTCGTTTAAGCAATACCCGACTAATCACCATTCAGTTAAACAGGGCACAGAAAAACGCAAAAAAGAAGCAAAAAGTTGACCAGAAAATTCTCGCAGCCATGAAGCTCTCATAAACCTTTATTTTTGTTTTCACGATCCGCGCGATCGCTAGAATTCGCTCGGCTATTACATCGCTCAATCCACACCCTGTCGATGCTGTCCAAAATTAGCCTGTCAACAGACGTGTTTTTTTTTTCGAGGATTCGGCAGCGCTTTCACTCGCACACGAGAACGAGCACGACACGCGGGGAAAAAAACAATTTTCTCCTCTGCCTACCCACACCCCCATGCGTTTGCGGTTTTTATTTTCACGCGCGCTCGACGATCTCTAAAGAGAAAACAGAGGGTCTCTGAACAGGCTCAAGGGCTGTCAACGTGATCTTACATGTTTATTCTTTAAATCTTATTTCGCTGTAAACTGCGCTGCTAGTCGCACTGCTATAAAGGAAGCTGAATTTTATCATTTGTTTGCAGAACGAACGGAAAAAATACCAATGGGGTCAATAAAAAATGTCATCTCCGAATCAATTGAAGGCCATGAGGAGTATCATATTATGGTAAGCTTACAGTCGGCTTTACAGGGTGTCAAGCAACAATGGACTTGGCACCCAACCTCGTTTCCAGGGTTCTCCCCTACCCTAACCCTTTTTCGCTCCGTAGGGCGGGTAGGAGAGAACCCTGGGAACGAGGTTGGGTGTCAAGTCCATTTTTCTTAATTTTAACTCGCTTTATTGTATTGTCCTCTGGCACTACCGAAACTGTAATAGCTAAAGAACGTTTTAAGTGGCTCACATTTGCACCAGAGCAGTGCGAAAGCAGTTGGAATTTAGTACAACTGATGTAGGTGGACTGTTCTCCGATCAAGCTCAACAGATTTCCTCAATTTTGCCTTTCTGCGATGTAAACTTGTATTTAAGATAAGTCTCCAATTGTACGATTCTTCCGATTTTAGTGTGCTATTGTCCGACTATTCTCCGATTTTTTTCTGGAGAGCGCGAAATATTACATTTGTCACAAGCTTGTTTCGTTCCCTGCCATAAAGAAGGAGAAATATTGCATGTAAAGTGCGCTTGTTTCGCTTTATGGCTTGAAGAAGGAGGAATATTCCTTTTTTGGCGCGCTTGGTTTGCTTTATAGCTGAAAAGACGAGGACTATTAACGTTTTGCAGCGATGTTTTTCTCAAGAATGGAAGTCGCAAAACGAATGAAATTTTAAAAAAATGTAGAATCGAAACAATCGGGCAAGAGTCGGAGAATCGTAAAACGAAACTTGAGAATCGGAAGAATCGGAGAGTGGCAACTGAATAGTGGATCACAACTATTAGCTCGTTTTATTGTATTGTCCTCTGGCACTACCGAAACTGTAATAGCTAAAGAACGTTTTAAGTGGCTCACATTTGCACCAGAGCAGTGCGAAAGCAGTTGGAATTTAGTACAACTGATGTAGGTGGACTGTTCTCCGATCAAGCTCTACAGATTTCCTTAATTTTACCATTCTGCGATGTAAACTTGTATTTAAGACAAGTCTCCAATTGTACGATTCTTCCGATTTTAGTGTGCTATTGTCCGACGATTCTCCGATTTTTCCTGGAGAGCGCGAAATTTTACACTTGTCACAAGCTTGTTTCGCCCCGTGCCATAAAGAAGGAGAAATATTACATGTGAAGCGAGCTTGTTTCGCTTTATGGCTTGAAGAAGGAGGAATATTCCTAGTTTGGCACGCTTGTTTTGCTTTATAGCTGAAAAGACGAGGACTATAAACGTTTGCAGCGATCTTTTTCTCAAGAATGGTAGTCACAAAAAGCACGAAATTTTAAAAGAATGTAGAATCGAAACAATCGGGCAAGAGTCGGAGAATCGTAAAACGAAACTTGAGAATCAGAAGAATAGGAGAGTGGCAACTGAATAGTGGACCACAACTATTATTTTACTATTCTCCGATTTGGCACTTATCTCGCGCTCTCCTGAATTGCACCTAGCACAGTTGGGGGGTAAACGCTGAATTGATTGTTATGTGTTGCAGGCTATTCAGCTCGGGCCAACAGAAGCTTCTCGATATTGGATATACTGGGTACCTGCGCAGTACGTGGATGCTATAAAGGACACTATTCTGGGAAAATGGCAACCGTTCTAGGCTGAAAACAGTTCCGTAAAATAGTGCCATTCGAAGTGATATATGATGACTTACAGTCAACTACAGGAAGTCATTTTATGATCATGTAACCTAGTTCAATGCAGGTCGACTTCGTTGATCACAGAGGGAATATATTTTTTAAAGTGCTGCGTGCTGCCATTACGAGAAAACATAATGTGAAATAGTTGTGGTATAGAAGGACTCATAATGCTGCACCTTAAACGCCTTTAGCCAAATCGATTAAGTCTGCATCGTCGTGAGAAGTCACGCGCAAGTGGCACGCGAAAGGAAACGCGACTTCCTCGCTCCTCGCGGCTATACTCGCTCGCACGTTCTCTCGCTGCTCGCCTCGTTCGCTACTCAAAATGGCCCGCAGGCGAAATTTGCTTCACCAGCTTCGAAGTACTCGCTTGGCTGAAATGTCATAAGGGGAAATGCGCCTATTTCTTCCCTTTACAGCGAGGTGTCATGTCGTTTTGCTTCAAAGTCGTTTCGTTTTCTTTTTTGGAGGTATTCAACGAGCGCGCGAGGGTAAGTACGAAGTACCAGAGGCCCCCGGTCAATAAATCCCTCGCGGTTTTATTTCCGTGCACACTCGACCATCTCTAAAGAGAAAATAGTGTGTCCAGAGACCAGAGTTCGGCTGGAAAATTGTTTTATACTCGTCTATGTGAATCAGAGTGATTGTGTAGAGCGTCAACAAAGTTCAAATTTAAATAGGTTGAAGGGGGAATAAAGTGAAGGCGCGCGAGGACACGATGGGCTCATTTTTTTCCTTCTCGCGCGCTTTAATCTCCCCTTTCCCTTCGCTTCAAACGCCGTCCACGCAGGCTATGATTTTGGCCAAGTTCACTTTCTGCGCTTCTATTACTTGTTCCAGGCTCCAAGACAGTAGAGAGCTTTAGATTCCAGGACGAAGACGACTACTAGGACGACATTTAATTTTCTCGTCTATTCTCTAAAAATAGACACCTTGTACTTTTTTCACCACAAAAGTTAGCACGCTTCTTTCTGTTGAAGGAGTTAAAGCCCACTCCCGATCGCTAAATGATAAAATTCCTAACATTTGATAACTTGTTTTCGCCAATACGATGTTGCCACTAAACCTCGTAGTAGAATGACGATGGCTATCACACTTTCCTGCCAAAATGACACTGGTTCGCGCACGCCCACTACTTAGTACGTGGAAAATCTAGTTCTCGTAGTCGTCCTCATCAAGGTCTCTAGTAATATGTAGTCGTACAGAAAAAAGATAGAAAGTGATGCGAAAAACGCATGCGGGTTGGCTATTTTTTCCCGCCACCGCCTCAAAAGTTCGGAGATAAAGCGCGTCTTATTTTACTTTGCTTGTTCTATTTCCGCGACGTCGCTTCTACCTGAGAGGCTGGCGCAGACTACGCTTTTATGAACCGAGACTGTCTCGAATGAACGATCTTGGTAAAAGAAAAAGGTTTTTGTTATCGTTAGCCGACTCGTTAGGCCCTCTTACACGCTCGGGTAGCCAATCAGAACACCGTATTCGCCTCATCTTGCCCCCTTCTTCGGAGCCAGCTAAAGAAAATAAAATGAAATAGTAGGATGATTTAGCAACAGAATGGGAACGTCAGTTGACGACGGCGCGCACAAATCAAACGAATGGCTTGACCAATGGCAGAGCGGCAAATTGAGCACCGGAAGTCGTGTTTAGTCCTTTCCGCGCGCTTTCCCGTCGTCAACTGACGTTCCCGTCCTGTTGCTAAATCAGCCGGAAAATCAGCCTATTATCAAGGCGGCGTCTTGAGAAAAGACTTTGTAGCAAAACGACTGTTAACATATAACGACATCAACCACGCAGGCGGGTTAAGGCTTACGCTGCCAATTTCAAAGCAGTTACTGTACCTGCAGTTCCAAAATTCACAGCATACAAAAAGTTAAAATTAATATACAAATAAAAAAGGAGAAACAATATTTGACCATACAATTTTCTAGCTGTTTTAATGATTTTACTCGGAAGCCAGTTTCCCAATTCAACCCATTTTGATTAAGCGTGGAATGAATATAAAACCAAACCAGCTGGAACGTTAGTGGAAGATACTTTTTAAAAAATATGTTTTCATTTCCCTGTTATTTGCCTATAAAGCTTACTACAGTGGAATGTTTTCAAGGAAAATCGCCGCTTGTTGAAGAGGTGGTTATCCCACCGATAGCCATAATAGGACCACTATTGCTCTTGTCGCCCTGTACCCTTCAGAGGTTATGACCGAGTATTCCGACAGTTCTTTGATATTGCACAAGAGAGAATGATCTATTCTCTCTTGTATTGCATCATTGCCAAACTTGCGGTAGGCAGCGAGTTTGTTTCCGTCCGCTATACTCCCGAACTCCCTGTTCGTTATCTAAATGTTGGGAATGAGGGAAATCTGTTATCTTTAAGACAGTGACCTGTATTTCCGTCGAATTTAGCCTATAATAAGGGGCCGACCCTTTGACCTTGGAGGGGGGTATAAGTAGGTGATTTCAGAAAAAATTATCCTGCAGTGCAGCCTGGTTTCGAGGGGAAAAAATTTCTTGCAAGGGAATACCTGTCGAAAAAAAAAATCCTACACTGAAAAAAAAAACTTTCATGGCGTGTAAAGCTGGAAAAAAAAAATCCTACGCCATTATATGTCGAGGAAAAAAATTATATCAAACCAAATGACCCATACCCCCCTCCCCCCTCCCCACAACCCCTCACTCCAAAGTCAATTTTACAATAACTGAGCGAATCCTCGCGCGCTGATTGCCAGTGATTGGTCGAGAGCTATGCCCTATGGTGCAGCGGAAAATGCCACGTCGTCTTCTGAAGGTCAGCGGTTTTTTAAATCATCCAAGATGGCGGATACGGTAAGGACACTTTCAAATCGTAAATTGCTTCTGTTTTTCTGCGAAGATGTTTGTGTTTTTAGCTTTATTTTAATCAAAATATAAGTAATAATCCTTGCTTTCTTTTTAGGATCATTTGGATGGCACGGAGGACGTAGCATTAAATTTTGGAGACGAAGATGAACTTTTCAGCAGAAAAAAGAAATTCAGGTTTGCAAATAAACAGTCTCAGTCAAGATTAGCGAAGCTTCATGTGCATTAATATCAACGTGTTTTTAGATCCATTTATTTTAGTTTCTCCTAATAAGTCTCTTTGGGTTTGCCGTTCGAAACAGATGTGTAAATTTCTAAAACTTTTGTCGTGTTTTATGAAAATGTCAACAGTTTAGTGTAACTGTGAAAGGTGAAGCTGAAACTTACATTACGCTTAAGTTTACATACTAGTTGTGCGTGAAAGTGGACAGAATAAATGACATCATTTCATATGTGAAATGAAATGAAAAAGAAAGTGATAACAGTCGTGCATGCAATTCAAGAAATTTCAAAAGGAAGTATGGAAAAGATATTAGTGATAACTTTTCTATTTCTGTTATCATTATATTTGTTCATTTAATTATAAATTTAAGCTTAACAGTTCCTTTGTTCATACATGTTGCATATAAGAATACAGCCAAAAAGTCTCTTTGTTCTTAGGCTAACAGCAATCCATTCAGCCAAAATTTCTGCATGGAATTTTTAAAATTCCCTTGTACCCGGGCGTGGGTAACCTGCGAACAGCAGACAGATTTCCGGTCATCGCTTTTCAGAGGGAGAGAAGCGACAACTGGAAATGCATCGCAGGCTAGGGGCTGGGGGGTACTACCATATATTTTGGATAGGTATGTGCCACCCAGGGTCTTAAACCCTAATCCTGTTTAAGGGTGAGACAAAAAGAATATTATACCCTATTTAAGGCCCAGACCTGAAAGATGAGACCCATTTCAAGGGAATACAAAAATTCAGAAGGAAGTACACACATCTTCCTTGAACTGTTTTCCTAATACTGGAAGGTAAAGTTAAGTTTTAACAGATGATTTTGTTTCTTGTTTAGGTGGGGATTTGCACACTTGAATTTTAGCTGATAGGATAATGGTACCCTATCTAAGGATCACACCAGGGCAAAAATGATACCCTACTTAAGGATTAAGACCCTCAAAAAGCATACCTTATAAGGCAGCACATACCTTTCTAGCTTATATTATGGTAGTACCCCTAGGCTTTGTACATACAGAACTGTACTTTCCCTTCCACTGAACACAACTAACATCACTAGTACTATCCAGGGCTGGCTATTGCTAAAAACAACATATCAGGCAAACTAGAATTTATTGGTCTTTTCTTTCTCTGTCAAATTAGACCACCTTCCACACTGGCCCCAATATTTCAGTCAGACCAAACCAAAATGGATCGTTCCACTTGATCTCTGGCCAAATTTTGTGGAAATGTTTGGTTGAATGGATCATGCCTCTTGAATCAGTCTGATGCTTGATTATATTTCTTATTCTTTACTCTCATTTCAGGAATCCTCTGGTGACAGCTTTTCATCTCCTTTTCCGTGTTGCAGCCATTCTTGCGTATCTTCTGTGCGGACTGCTCAGTGATAGTTTTATCACAAACTTTGTGGTCATTGTTCTGCTGTTGTCGTTTGATTTTTGGACTGTCAAAAATGTAACTGGCCGTTTATTAGTAGGTCTTAGGTGGTGGAACTACATTGATGAAGATGGGAACAGTCACTGGATGTTCGAGTCTAAAAAGGTGTGAAATTAATATATTTTTCAGGGCAACACAGGGTAGTGCCACCAATATTTCTTGCCAATTCATAGTCCAATGCACAGAGGCATTCTCTAAAAAGGGTCTGATCTTGTTTAAAGCATAGTGATAGTACTGGGATAGGTTTGAACTGGGAATGTGCTACCCAGGTCTTGAAATGTGGACACTGATTTTGACAAAAAAATTGAAAACCAAGTGATTCCCCATTCTAGAAATTAAGAGGACAATTTTCAATGCCTCATCCTGGAGTTTTCTCACTCTATTTAGCATTTGTGCCCGTGAAAATGGAATGCAAGTAAGTACAATAGAATCTCGAGCTTCTGCATCGTCTTGGTAAGGACACTCTCCTGACATTTTGCCAAAAAACAAGGTGGAGGAACTAGCTCAAGTTTTGTTAACTCAAGCTTACCAGTCGAGATGCAGCTCTTTATAGCCATCACGTAAGGCCAGAATTGATAAAGATTTGTCAACCCTCTTACACATCCAGCGAGGCGAAGTACTAAGAGAAGCTTCTTTTTGAAAGCTTACTTCCCTTAATCTGGTTGCAACAGCTGAGAATTTGCCTCTTTGGTAGCCAAGTTTTCCATTAGTTTAAAACAAAAGTTTTTAAACTTGTGTTTGCGCTTTCATCAGTGTTTGTTTTCACTTTAAACAAGACCTCAACTCCTTCCAGGTTTAAGTTGGGATACCTTCACAGCTGTGATCTAGCAGTGCCCAGTAGCCCCTGGTGCTAAGATTTTACTCCTGGGCAACTAAAAAATCTTAGGCTTTTTTTGTAGAAATCATTTGCTGGGCACCCTGGATTTCAGAGGTTCCGAGCACAGGCCTCCCTTCAGTTTTTCTTAGGGCACAACAGTGACTTGATTTGATATGTTTCCCAACAGAATGATAAAAGTGTGACAACTGCTGAATCTCGTGTTTTCTGGCTGGGTCTGGTCATTTGTCCTCTCATTTGGATGCTCTTTTTAGTGGCTGCATTGTTTTCACTGAAATTTAAGTGGTTGGTAAGTTTATTTTGACCACTTTTATTAAAATGTGATACATTTAAATATGGAAGTGAATTAAACGGAGCTTACTAATCAAAATAAGTACTGTTGAAGCTTTCTTATGCAATGCACTTGTGCCAGAATGCTTATGGACAAAATCCTGCTTTGACTCACTGCTTGTAAAACACTCTGTTGCAATAAGCAGCATTTTCAGTCATGGACACTTTTTTTGTTATTCCTAAGGGTGTCTGCTTAGGGGCTGACCATTTGACTATTGAGCGGGTATGGGTGATTTCAGGAAAAAACATCCTGCAGACTGATTTCGAGGGAAAAAAATTCTTGCAAGGAAGTACCTGGTGAAAAAATATCTTTCAAGGTGTACAAAACTGAAAAAGTAAATCTTGCACTGTTATATGCCAGGAAAAAATTCTATCACCAGGGGAAAAAATTCTTACCAAAACCAAATCACCCATACCCCCCCCTCAAAAGTCAAATGGTGGGTACCTTAAGGGAGCTTTGGCCATAACGCACCTTAGAATCTTTCATGTATTTCAACTTTTTAGTTTTAGAAGCTTTTTTCACAGGGTTTCACTGTTTCCTACAGTAGGTAACAGTTCTCCTAATTACCCTCAAAATATTGTCTGACAACAGCTTTGTATCATTAGCAGAAAGTTGTCTGTAGGCTTGTACAGTTTGGGGCACAGATTTTACATGTTTACATGAGGTTTGCTTGGAATCTGTGGGCCAGTTGGGGTTGCTTAACCCAGAGTATGGGAGTTCTAGCCAAAGCCTAGCACACATTTTTTGCTAATCCTCAGCACATTCACCGTTATCCTTGTTTGTCTGCTGAAGCCAAAGTTTAAGAGAATTTTATAGAGGACAAAATGTAATATGTTGATTACATACAAGGTTTCTGGTCATTCCAACTCCACATAGACTGCCTTGTGAATATTTTTCACTCTCACACTTAAGCAAGCATCAAGAAATAATTTTCACATGCCTTGCCAATTGTGCTCAGTGAATATAATAATATTGATAAATTTACTTGGCTCAAGTTCTAATTCATTGTTAACAAGGAAGCATGACAAACATTGTACTCTAAATGTTGTGAATAAATCTCATTGTTTAGCTTTATAGTGCATGTTAGTCCATTGGGGATAGAACACAATTTTGTGCTTACCCACTGTGAACTTTAGCATGCCCTGGGAGTCAAGCTTTTCTGAGGCCTTGTTAAAGATAAGAAAATAAACAGTGAAGCTTTTCTAAGGCTTTGTAAGAGATAAGACTTGAAAATTAAATTACAAAAGGAGCTCTTCTCAGAATCACTTACAGTACAAACCAGGACACTTGTAAGAAGATTGTTCAATCACAACGTTTTCTGAAAAAAGATTCTCAAGTATTTTTGGCAAACCGACCAACAAAATTCACTGATTGGAGGGCTGTTTGCTGAGAGGTCTGGTAAGTTCAACCAGTTTAAAAGTTTCTAACGGTTACATAGTTGAATCTTGAATTTTATTTGTCAGTTTGCAAAAACACTGGAGAATCTTTTGTATTCAGAAAATGTTGTAATTGGACAATCTTCTTCCAAGCTTCCTTGTTTGAGTGTGTTATCAAAAGGTAACACTCTGAACTGATTTTTTTTCTCAGTTAGTGGTTGCTGTTGGTCTCACCCTTAATATTGCAAACCTCATTGGTTACATCCGCTGCAAGAAAGATGCAGGGAAAAAGATTACCACTTTTGCTGGTACTTTCTTGGGAAGACAACTCCTCAATCAGGTATTTTCATAGAGATTTAAATTTGATCAAGGCATCTTCAGTAGTTTAAATTTCTGATTAGGTATGGTCTGTAATTTCGCATAATCATACATAGTAATCCCTTTCAATTATTGAAAGAGTATGACAGACTATTAACAATAATTATTGTTGAAGTTGAAGTTTTTGTGGCTTCTGCAAATACCAGTCATAACTGTTCATTGGTGGGATATGTAAAATGTATACAGTTTCACAATAAAGTAATTATTGTCAACTGACAATTTTTACAAGTGAATATATTATGAGGAACAAATTAAATAATATGATGATGACTTTCATTGTATGCAATCTCTTGCCTAATCCATAACAAACAAAAGCAATAAACCCTATCAGCACCCTTACTGGTAAAATGTCTGTATCTGTGACATAGTGCCATTGTTTGAAAGTAAAATGTTGTAACTCAAGTGAAGCCTTGAACTGCTGTAAGTTTAAAATTAAAAGTTAAATTCTGAGCTTTTGTTAAAGAACAGCATCAACACGTATTCTGCATGGAGCTATACATATAAAAATGTAAAGTAAAATGTGTACAAAGTTTGAGAATAGGGTATAAGAAGTACAAAATACAAATGTCACTGTTTATTTGCTTGTATTTAGTGTAAATAACTCTTTAGAAAATTATTTGCAAATCCATTGAACTGAGCACTATGGCTAATTCTTTTCTTTCTCACATCTATGTGGCATGGCTGCTCTATTATTTCATTTAGCAGGCAAATCCTCCTCGTCGCCGTCAACTTCCTGGACAATTCTATGTACAAACATCTTCTAACTCTCTTCCTCGAGTTTTGTAAGTCTCATCTTGTCCATAAAATGTGCTATCTAGCATTCTTTTGTCAGCTCATCTGTGTAAGGTCTATCAATGCTAAACTAAAGAATAATAACACTATATGTTATTACTAATAATAAAATCATTAATTTAGAACTCAATTCACAATACAGCACATGTTCCAGATATGATTTTTACCTACCTCATGCAGCCTGAAGATGGAATTTTTTTCAGTGAAAAGCTATTAAGCCAAAGAACCCTAGCTGCGACAAATGGACCTACAACTTACTGTTAGGCGATATTGAGGAATATTTACCGTGGTTTAATATTAAATTTGGACAAATCAACAATTTGTTGTATCAACCAGAAGGAAAGGACACAAAAACAAACTTGACATCCTTACACTTTAATTAACCTAAATGCAACAACTGCATTTGGAGTCATCTTAAACTGGTTACCTTAAAACTGTCAAAACAAAAAGATAACAATTTCTCATAATATTAGAAGAATGAAAGGCACTCTAATCTCTAAGTATCACTTCAATTATTGAACTGTGTACTCTATAGTCTGAAATTTCATCTCTCTCTCTCTCTTTGCCCGATGCCACCAATACATGGGGTGGAGCAAAGAAGCGGAAGATATTTCAGACTATCTAATCTACACTGTCTTATTCAATTCATCCATAACCTTGCTCACAGGAGTCTTTGATTTTGCAATGGCTGCCATAGTGCCTTCCTTTCCTTTGGTAACTAAAAATTGTGGTCTTATTTTTTAAGAATATTGCTTGCCTTTTAAATATGCTGTAAACCTATCTGTGCCCTATTTCATTCTTCTGTTTTCCTCTCGTTAGCGTGGGGATTCTATTAAGGTGAACTCATCCTTACCCCACTGCCCCACCTCAAGCTCTTCCTTGAATTGTCTTATCTGTAAAAATACATTTTGACTTGCAAATTAAGTTTTATCTATCTTCTCTAAATCCCATATTGTCTATCTATTCCACTTAATTCTTGGATTACCTCATATTAATGATTGATGGACTAACTGACTGATTGAGTGATTGATTGATTGATGGACTAACTGACTGATTGATTGACTGATTGATTGATTGATTGATGGACTAACTGACTGATTGAGTGATTGATTGATTGATTGATTGATTGATTGATGGACTAACTGACTGATTGATTGATTGATTGATGGACTAACTGACTGATTGATTGATTGATTGATTGATTGATTGATTGTTTGATTGATTGATTGACTGATTGATTGATTGATTGATTACTTGCAGGCCATGGGCTCAACAGGCACCCAGCAGTAACAGAGAATTACCTCTTTTATAACCTGCAGAAATGCAACAATAAGAACATGTTGTGCAGCTTAAATTCTCCTGCAAGATCTCCTCTCAGTCAACCTTTGCTTCTCTTTAAAGTCCGAAATTGTTTTCTCGAAAATCCGCACCATAGGTCAAAGTTTTTTTTTTTTGGAGCAACCACTTTTTGGACTTTGTTGTTTATAAGCAGAAACCTCCGGCAAGTTCACTATCCGTTTTGTTCTGTTTATGTTTGGAAGGGTACATGTATGTTTAACAGGGATATGTATATACAGTAAACGGGGAAATGTGTATATAGTGAACCGATTATTTGCAAAATTGTTGTGTTCAATATGTAGGTTTATGGTGTTGTATTCAGGTAATAATATAATGTTTCAAATTATATTGACAACGTTTTGAGCAACAATCAGTATACTTTTATTGATGCCTGGACTATAAAGCATAAAAACCTTTCAAATGGGATTAACAAGCAAAACATAAATGATATTTAGATTTGGCAACGAGGCGAGATAGAGTACGAGTAAAACTTTTCGAGCTAATTTTATCACCCAAACTATAGCGCCTTTCTGTTGCTAGCCAGCATATAAATAAACTTCAAGTATAAGAGAGGCATGATAATTTTGAATTTTTTGGGGCACACGAATTTGGCTTGAAAACTTGTACTGGTACTCAATCTCGTATTAAAGGTCCCTAATGCCTCTTTTCATACGTTTTTCACACACAATATGTTACACATTCTCTTTTTCGTTCTCTGCTGAACAACAGCATCTGAAAAATGACCAATTTCAGGGTTTGTAGAGAGCATGTAGAGATATGGTAATCATGGTTAAATTTTTATTCTCTTTATGGGTTCAAATGAAGACCCAATTGAAAATAATAATTTCTAAACAAAAAAATAAATAATTATAACTATTTTAAAGGAGTTTAAAGGAAAGTAAGTTTGTTCTCAAATGTTGTTTACCTTCATGCTGCATTGACAGTTGTCATATAAGCCCCAAGAGGGGTATAGTGTGTTGCTATTGCCTTCTTTTAGTTGTGAAGATAAACATGATTAACTCTTCCTGTATGTTCAGGGATTGCTATGCCTGACTGTTTCTCCCTTCATGGTCTCGACATATGTCATTATTCTCCGTAGTTGTAGTTGCCTCCTCGCTCTTTCATTTTTTGGCTCTCGTTCCATTTCCCGCGTGGCCAAAACCGAAAATTCCGTTCCTCGGTCTTTCTTTGCTCCGAAACCAAAGGGAAACGCTTGCTACGCAGGCTAGAAGGCACCCGACGTATAACAGCATGCATTACAAGCCTAGCTAGTGAACATTAAAAAGAACAACAACTATATATAATGGTCGTGTCAGTTTGTAAAATCTTTTTGTAAATGCAGTAGTCTATTTATTACAAATATTCATTTCTTTATGAATGGATTTCTGTCTGTGGCCACGGATGAATTTATGTAAAAGATATGTTGTTAACCAGACAAACACTATGTAGTGGTTCAGTTTATTAAAAAATAACAAACATTACAAGGTGTTGTCTTCATTGGGGCGAAGTTTGCATCAGAAAAACTCTTTAAATCGTCCAACCTCGTCCTCGGGGCTTTTCCCTCAGAAAATGGGAGAAAGTGAGGCTAAAACTAGCCTGCGTAGCAGGCGTCGAAAGGGGTAGGGGGTAGGGGATAGGGAGGAAGGGAAAAAGGGGAGGGGGAGGGGACCCTTCCCTTTTCCCTTTCTCCCTATCCCCTACCCCTTCCCTTTTTGCGCCTGCCACGCAGGCTACAAAAAACCTGCCTTTTGACCCTTTTTCACTCAGATGACTGTAAATTTCGTTGGGTTCGCTTTCAAAAAATCGACTAATAACGACTCTAAGTAATCGGATGAAATTCAGGCTACCAATGTACATGTTGGACTGAATTAATGAGAGACCCCATGCCAACCTCGTTCCCGGAAAAGCCCTGGGGAAGAGGTTGGCCCAATGTCTGTTATGACGATGACGAGATCAATAAAATGTGCTTCCGGGAAATGAAAAAGTTTCCGTAAGTTTGCAATCATGAGAGCTTCTCCCAGTCAAAACCTTTAAGTTTTTTGGGTGATTTAGCTGTTGTCCTTTGTATGGTTGTCCGTAAAGACGAGATACCCGCAATGGCATGGCCAGGCGAATGCTGACTATAACAGGGCAAGACTCGCCAGCCCACCAACTCAAGTTTTGGAATACACTCAAAGAAAGTGTATACTACTCGTAGCTAAGAGATCGATTTCTTTCCTTCTTCTTTCCTTTGTTTCACACAACTAAAAGTCTTGAAACGCTGCTGATATATAAAGTTCGCTGTACTAGCGAAAGAAACTCCATTCTATAATTCAAAAGCATTTTGCTGAACGGTCCACCCTTCATGCCTCAGGGGACTTTAATAAAACTTTGGTCGCGGTTTCAGTAGCAGAAACTGACCAATCAGGTGCATTTCCCGAGCGGCACGGGAAATATAGGCATGTTTTCATCAAGCATTTGTTTGGCGCAATATAAACGCCTGATCATCTTTATAGTGAGAAAGTTGCTTTGTCTTTTCCAAAACTGTAGGAATGCTAAGAAAGCAACTTTTAGCACTCTTTCATTCGATTCCCTTGGCTAATAAAAAATGCTATATTTGAAAACTGTAACTTTGAATATCAAGCAAAACAGGAAACTATTGCAGTCTAATCTCTGATCTTCTTCACATCTTATATCAGAGTTAGACTATTCTATCATGACTGTTAGCTTTTCTTGAACGATTTAGGAATATCCAGTTCCGGTCTCTTCCGGAGCAGAAAACGTTGAAAAAGTTTTAAAGTCTGTTTTCTCATGTTTTCTGACCTTTTGTTCAATTTTCAATCTTTCTTGGCGTCAATGAACTTCATCAAAAGATTTTGATTAAATCGTTATTACGACGTTTCTAGCAGTTTTAACACAGTCTTCGTTGAGCACTGATTGTCCAGGGCCAGAGTTCTTTGAAAAAGTGCGATGATCCTTTCCCTTTTTTAAAAATATTTTTTATACATTTTAGCGGTTTAACAACAGTTTAGTCTTTGAATGGTAGAATTTTAAGCGTTAATTGCATATGAATAAACATCAATAGTATATGTTTTTATTGTTGCACCGAACACAAAGGCCAGTAAAACTTGTGAAAAATAATTCAACATGCGCATAATCACATCTTGGTAAACTTTGGTAATGTTACTTTGCATGTGCAACACGAGTATTTCTCGAGTTGGAATGAATTTTTATCGAGAAACTGTACAAAAGGAAGACGCTGATTTCGAGTTTATTGAACTGTTGTTTAGACAGTTAACTTACACTGGATCTCAAACGATCGCTGTCATTTCTGGATTGGATCAAATGTCACCACCAGCTAAGATTCGCTTGTGCCTCTTCGAAGATAAGGTTTGTCCTCAGTTCAACTTATATTTTTGGCCTATTAAGCCCTAGTTTACATTAATTGTTGGCAATAAACCCAAATTAATCTCGTAGCTGAAACGTTACTGGTTTTCCGTAAGTTTAGTTGCCGCGGAAATTTTAAAAAGTTTGAATTCGCGCTCTTTCGCAATTTTAACTTTAATCATGACGAGCGGGTGCAAAACAGGCTATCGTAGTCTTCGCATATTCATTAGTTTTGTCAAACTGATAGTGGTGATCAACATCACTGAGCAATCAAATATTAGGAGTTTAAA